ATACATTACCCGTACGTACAAGTGTGACGCAGATGGTGTAGAANTCCTGCCTCGCTCTCGCTCCCGTGGAAGACAAAGGCAAGCCAGCATCGTCCTGAGTCAACGGCGATGTTGCTTGACCCGGTGGCTCGACGATGTGGGCGGTCGCAGAGATAGGATCAATCAGAATAGACGCACGCTGGAGGGGGGGGTGGGACACCACCAAAGGCTGTTGCAACAGGGCTGGGGCTGCCGGCGCTGACGGTACCACCGCAGGTCCGACCGACACTGTCGCCGACATCGTGGCTGATGACGATGATCCTGACGTGGCCCTGGCAGCGGTTTCGGCACGAACATCGCGTCCCACAGGAGCTCCCGAAAAGCTCGAAGCGTGGTCTTGCATCGGTGTCGAACGCGTTGGTGGGGAAGAAGATGAGGAAGGTGGTGGCCTGCCAGGAGCGTGGGGGGGCACAGGAGGTTGTACATTCGCGTCGGCAGCAGCATCCACTACTTGATTTGCTCGCAGGAGAGTGAGTACTTGTTCCAACAGCATTTCAGTTCGGGAAGCCGAGGTCGAGGCGTGTGATGCAGCATGGCGTGGTGACTCAGCAGGTTCGTCCAAAGGCAAGGAAGATGTGGGATGATCCATAACGGCATGGGCAGGGGCATGGCTTCTCACAGCGGCTGAATGTTCACGAAGTTGCATGTTGGCAAGTTTGAAAGAGAAAGAAGACCTGGTCGGTTGGCCTACATCAGCGGGAGGGCGTAGAACAAGCGGTGAAGAACAGAGAGAACCGTGTTCTGAAGCATCCTTGTGTTCCCCCAACAACCCAGAGCTACGAAAATCACCTCGATCATACATCACTTGCCTGTTACCGTGGCCTGACCTCCGTCGCCCTTTTCCACCGCGACTGCTGTCAGTGCTGGTCGCCCTGCTGTTGCGCCCGCTCCGGTTCTGGCTCCGGCTACGGCTACGCCTAAACGGAGGCGTGTTTCTCCCACGACGGTCTCCGCTCCGGCTGCGCCCACGCCTAGACGAAGGATTGGTGCGCTGTTGTCGCTCTGCGTTCCGACTCCTGCTCCGGCGGTGGCGACTCGCCGGCGAAGACCTCGTAGGCTGGTTCCCCACGGTTCGCCCTCGCCTGTTATCTCCGACGCCGCGCCCTCGCGAAGACTGGGTGAAGCGGTGGTGGTCGTCCGTCCCGCTCTTGGCCGTCGAATCCCGGTCNTCTGCGCTCCGACTCGATTCGCCGGCGAAGACCTGGTAGGCTGGTTCCCCACGGCTCGCCTTCGCCTGTTATCTCCGACGCCGCGCCCTCGCGAAGACTGGGTGAAGCGGTGGTGGTCGTCCGTCCCGCTCTTGGCCGTCGAATCCCGGTCGCCCCAACGGTTCTTCCAGCTCTTGGACACCGGAGCCGCCGACCTACTGAAGTCCTCGTCCTCTCCAGAACCATGTGCAGGGCGTGAAGAGCCCTGCCGGGGGACTTGCAGATCGTGCTTGAAGTCGTTGTTGGAGGCAGCACGAGCAAGAGGCAGCTGGAGTCCTCCATCTTGTGTCACCACCGACGTTCCTTGAGGACCTCTAT